CGGTTCATATCAAAGTCAGCAGATAAGTGCCTACCGTTTTTTAAGATTATGAGGTCAGTTGCCCAGAAGGATGAATCGGGTAAACAGAAGAAGTTTGAGTGGACTCAGGAATGCCAAGCCACATTCGACGAGCTGAAGTCTTACCTTAGCTCACCACCTCTACTGACTAAAGCCAAAGATGGAGAAATCCTCTATCTATATCTGGGAATTTCAGATGAAGCCATTAGTTCGGTTCTGGTAAGAGAAGAAGCCAAGCAGCAGAAACCAGTATATTATATCAGCAGTGTGCTGCATGGAGCCGAACTGAGGTATCCTATAGCTGAGAAAGCAGCTTTAGCAGTCGTCACTTCGGCCAGGAAGTTGAGGCCGTATTTCCAGTCGCACCCGATCATTATTCTTACAGACCAACCCCTTCGGCAAATCCTGCAAAAGCCTGAGTGTTCTGGAAGACTAATTAAGTGGGCAGTAGAACTGGGGGAGTTTGAGATAACATTTCAGCACAGATCTACAATCCGAGCTCAGGCACTGGCAGATTTTATTGTAGAATGCACTCCAGGTAATCCCGTTCCTTCTTCAGAGCCTAATGATTGGACCTTATATGTTGATGGGGCATCTAATAGCAAAGGATCAGGAGCTGGTGTTCTCTTGATTGGCCCAAATGGATACCGAAGTGAACATGCTTTGAAGTTCAACTTCGACGCAACGAACAACATGGCCGAATATGAAGCCCTGCTACTTGGTCTCCAGCTAGCATTGGAATTAAAACTCAGGGCAATCCAAGTATACAGTGACTCCCAGCTGGTGGTGAACCAAATTAACTCAATCTGCGAAGCCGTTGATCCTGTGATGGTAAAATATGTGGCTCTAATAGCTGAATTGAAATGCAAATTCCAGAAGTTCTGTCTGAGCAAAATCCCCCGAACTGAGAATGAACAGGCAGATTCACTCTCTAAATTCGCCTCTGATAGTTCTTCACATTCCAGGTCAGTTTTTGTAGAAATCTTAGATGAACCAAGCTTCGTGAAGCCACGGGTGATGGAAATCAGCACCAACCCAGACACACCGAGCTGGACTGACCCAATCCTCTCCTTCTTACGAGATGGGATAGTACCTGAGGACAGGCAGGAGGCAATGAAGTTGAGGAAGAAAGCATCCTGGTATACACTTGTTGATGGGGTTCTCTACAAGCGATCTTTTTCTCTACCTCTTCTGCGGTGCTTGAATCCCTATGAAGCAGAATATGCACTCCGGGAGGTGCATGAAGGTATCTGCGGAAGTCACGTGGGTGCTCGAACCTTGGCTCATAAAGTCCTTAGACAGGGTTACTATTGGCCCAACATGTATAAGGATGCCACTCACTTTGTTCAGCGATGTTTGAAATGTCAGTTCTTTGCACACTTGACTCACCAGCCTGCAGAAGAACTCACCACTCTGGTAGCACCATGGCCATTTGCTCAGTGGGGATTGGATCTTCTGGGACCATTCATAAAAGGGGTTGGTGGTGTAACCCACTTGATTGTTGGTGTAGATTATTTCACAAAGTGGGTTGAAGCTCGGCCAATATCCAGTCTTACTTCCAAGAAGGTTGAAGACTTTGTTTTCAGTTCAATCATCTGCAGATATGGAATCCCGAATCAGATTGTGGCTGATAATGGAACTCAATTTAACTGCACCTCTTTTCGAGATTTCTGTTCCAGTTACGGGATTAAATTACAGTTCACTTCGGTTTACCATCCGGAGTCCAACGGCATGGTCGAATCTGTTAACAAGTGCATCTTAGAAGGTATCAAGCCAAGGCTGGAACAACACAAGGCCAAATGGGCAGACGAGCTCAACAACGTCCTCTGGGCATACAGAACTACGAGTCGAACTGCTACAG